TCATGCTTCGCTCGGGACCCTGAACCTGGAGGAATGAGGCTTTGAACGCATGGGGGATAACTTCGTAGAAGTTTCCAGAAGGTTCCGGAAAATTCCAAAAGGTTCCAGAAGGGGGTGGAGAGGTTAGGTGTGAAGCAACAAGCAGAGGCAGAGGCCGAGCTGAGGATTTGGAAAGCCAGGCCAGCCCACACAGCCTGGGTGGCCCTCCCTCTGTAGACCCCCGCCCCCTGCCCCCCTCCCCACCCCACCCCCGTCTCTCACCTGGCAGAGGGGCCTCTTCTGACTGGCCCAGCTCCCAGGGTAGCAGCGGCAGCAGTGGGCTGGAGGACTTGGGCTCCATCTTCTCCCTGGCTGCGGGGGAGGGGAGGGCATCACTGTCCACCCCCCATCCACGTCCAGCCCCCCACGCCTGTCCTGGGGTCATTTCTTCCAGCCCACAGGGGCAGTTGGGCAGAGGCGGGACCCCCTTGAGCTGAGTCCAAGGGGGTGAGTAGGGGGTGTGGGCTGGCTGGGGTATGCACAGATGCCGTCTACGGAACAGGGCGCCGGGGCGTCCATCCTGAACCCCGAAGCTGGACAGGGAGGAGTGAGGGACCCTCGCACTGCCTTGCCCCCCACTCCAGAGGCGTGTTTTGCTGGGCTGGGCTGCCCCCACTCCCCGCTATTCTTTTTTTTTTTGCTTTTTGGGTCACACCCAGCGATGCACAGGGGTTACTCCTGGTTCATGCACTCAGGAATTACTCGGGGGACCCATGGGATGCTGGGAATCGAACCCGGGTCAGGCCATGTGCAAGGCAAACGCCCTACCCACTGTGCTATCACTCCACCTCCCCCCGCTATTCTGTTTTATTTTTACTCTTGTGGGTTTTTTTTTTTTTTGCTTTTTGGGTCACACCCAGTCATACCCAGGGGTTCCTCCTGGTTCTGCACTCAAGAATCACTCCTGGCGGTGCTTAGGGGACCATATGGGATGCTGGGAATCAAGTCCGTGTTGGCCGCGTGCAAGGCAAACGCCTTCCCGGCTATGCTATGGCTCCAGCCCCTGCCCCCCATTTTTAATGGGTGTGTGGAGGGGTCTCGGGGCACAGAGGGTGACCTTTACCACGCGGATGCGTCCCTCCTCCTGCGGGTGGCCCTGGGATGTCTCCTTCCTGCCCCCACTTCCCCTCATCTGCCCGCTGCCTCCCTCTCTCCGGGCCCCAGGGCCTTCCCCGAGGGTCGGGCAGCAGATGGGGGTCCCACTCAACTCCTGGGGAGATGGTGGTGCTTGTATGCAAGAGCCCCCCACAGCAACCTGGGGAGCCCGGGGTACTCCCGGAGCGGGGAGTGGGCAGCCCTGTGCCCCCCACCCTGCTGCTGCCTCCGGAAGCAGGACCCGACCGAGGTTGCAGGGAGAAGGAAGGGCGGCCTGGGGGGGGGGGGCCCGCGGGTTTCAGCACTTTTGTGCCCTGGCTGTGGGGGCTGGCAAGCCCTGCCCTCTCTGGCCGTGCTCGGCCCCAGACCCTCCAGGCAGCCACGGGCGGGGGGGGGGGGGCCTGGGAGTCGCCCCCAGACATCAGCAGTCCCCAGACTCCCCCCAGTCTCAGAGAAAAGACGCGGCTGGGGTGCCCGGGGGCTCCGGGAGGGGGCAGGCATCAGGCTCGGGGCAAGGACCCCCCCACACGCACCGCACATCCCAGCCTCAGACACAGACAGTAGCTCCCGGGGCCTCACCTGGGCACGTCCTCCGGCTGGGAGACGGAGCCCCAGAGCCGAACTCTGACAGGTTCCGCTTCCCCCACCGCAGCCGCTCACTTCCTGCAGTGCCCTGGGCGCGAGCGCGGGGCCTGCTGGGCCCGGGGTAGGCGCCGCCCCCCTCCACCCACGGGAGCCGCTGCAGCTTGGCCCGGCCTCGCCACCCCCTCATCACCTGCCCCTCTGGCCTGAAGCGCCCAGTCAGCCAGCCCTGAAAGTGACCAGGGCAGCAGAAAACCCGGTTGTCAGCTGTCTCTCGAAGAAGCAGGAAAGACTGGGTATTCCCGTCCACCCGTCCTTCCGTCCATCCTCCATCACCCAGCCTCCCTCCATCCCTCCATCCGCCTTCTCATCCACTCTTCCATTCATCAATCCATCCACCATCCATCCACTCATCCACACTTCATCAATCCATCCTTCACTCCTCCCATCATCCTTTATTCTATCCATCCATCTATCCACTATCCATCCATTCACATCCATCCTTCCATCCATTCATCCTCCCATCCATCCATCCATCCACCATCTATCCATCCTTCCATCCATCCATCCATCCTTCTATCCATCCATGCTTCCAACCATCTATCCACTATCCATCCATCCACCATCCATCCTCCCATCCATCCATCCACCATCCATCCATCCTTCCATCCATCTATCCACTATCCATCCATTCACCATCCATCCATCCAACATCCATCCATCCTTCTATTCATCCATCCTTCCATCCATTCATCCTTCCATCCATCCTTCCATCCATTCATCCTCCCATCCATCCATCCACCATCCATCCACCCATCCTTCCATCCATTCATCCTCCCATCCATCCATCCATCCATCCACCATCCATCCTTCCTTCCTTCCACCCATCCATCCATCCATCCGTTCTTCCATCAATCCACCCTTCATTCCTTCCATCCATCCTTCATCCCATCCATCCACACCACCCACCCATCCGTCCAACCCTCCTTCCTTCCACCCACCCTCCGTCCTCCATCCCCTCCCCCACCCCTTGAGCTTGGGCTTCAGTCCAGCTGCCTTCTTCCTGGGCTTCGGAGCTGAAACCCTCACAATCCCTTCTTTCTCCAGCTCTGTGGAGCCTCAAATTCGGCTGAAGGCGGGGCCCCCCAAAACACCACGGGGCCTTAGGAAGGGACCCTGGTAGGAGAGATAGCAGAGCCCAGGAGGTCACTGGCCAGTGGGGGCCTCTCTAGGACATACTCCCACATCGAGTGTCCATCCTTTATACTGTCTGTGCCTCTTACCCTCCACCTCGGACCCCTGGTCTCAGCCTGTGGGGTGCTCCTCTCCACACAAGGCTGCGTCCATGCAGGAATCAGGGGTCCCGCCACCCACCTGGGCTGGCCCCCAGCCACCCAAGACCCAACCCTGCTGGTGGGGACCAGCCGCCTGGGGCAGCAGCCCTGCCCACCTCTTGTTTGATGTTGCTGGGGGCAGTATGTGGGGTCCGGGCTGAAACCCGGGGCTCCTGCATGCAGAAGCCCCTCCAATCCGGCCCCTCGGGGCTCACAACTGCCTCCACCCACCGAGCAGCCCTGGCCCGAGCCGAGTCTAGCGCAGTATGACGACACCGTATCGGGGCTTAGTGGCTTTTATTGAATATGCAAAACTCCCGAAGCAAACACGGCTCCAAACAAGGACAGAGGCAGAGTGAGCTGGGAGCGAGCCGAGAGCCCACGGGAGCCGAGGCTTCCCACGCAGCTCTGCCGGCCGCCAGGAGCGGGGACACACGGGGGCCTGTGGGAGCCCCGGGCCGGCGAGAAGGGGGCTTTGCCAGCTGCAGACGGACCCCCAAGGCTGCTGGACCGGCGACCCTGGCGTCCCCGCTCAGGACACAGGAGTGGGGCGTGGAGGGGGCTTTGCTCTCAGGTGGTCCCTCCGGAGACTGGCAATTAGCTGGACCCGCACAGCCATGAGGAAGCTTCCAGAACGTTCCACAGGCAGGGACACTGGTTCCTGGGACCCCAGCAGAGATGCCCCAGAGCCCGGAAGTCTCCGTGCTACAGCAGCAGGGACCGGGCTGAGCACACGTCCTTCCAGATGGTTCTGAGAGCCCTAAGGGGCCACTGCAGTCAGGGGGGACGTGAGGGTGCCATGCCGGGGAGGCAGCCCGGGGGTACCCACAGCATCCAACCAACTTGGTCTGTCCCGGTTGGCACGGTGGGGGTGGGAGGCATTCTAGAACAATCCCAGCCTCGCCACAGGCCCCGGGCAGGCTGGAGCTGCTGGCTCGGGTGTAAAATCCGAGAGTCGCTTCTTTCCAAACTGGCCCTGGGACAACCTCCATCCCCCCAGGCCCCAGGGGGACCGCGAGGTCGGGGCACCACGGAGGGGCGGTTCCGCCCAGCGCGCTGGTTCCGTGCTGCCTTAATGTCACCGCCTCCCGCAGGAGCCGCTGTAATGCCGTTTTAATTATTTCTTGCCCCTGCTGGGAAACCTCCTCCTCCGTCAGCGCCGGCGGAATATTAAACTGTAGCGGGGAAACTCGGTTCCAAGGGTGGGAACCGGGCGGGGGGGCGCGGACCGAGCGCGGGCTGGAGACCGCCCGCAGGAGTTGGGGTGGGGGCGGGGTGGGGGGGCGGTGAGCACGGAGACCACCAAGGAGCCGCATCCCAGCTCGGGGGAACCCCTGAAGCTCAGGGGGTGCTGGAGGGAGGCAGGAGAGCCCAGTGCGGGGCGCGGAACGCAGGGCGCACGGAGGAGCGCAGGGCGCGGGGGCGCGGGGGGCGGGATGGGGCGAGGGGCGCGACTGGGGCGCACCCAGATGTTGCGGTCTGACGCCTCAGTACGTGGCCACTTGGAGATGGACCTTCACAGTGGCGGTTGCCAGCAGGAGTCCAGAAGGTGGCCCCTTAAGGGGCCATCAGGACGCGCGTGGTACCGGGGGGCTACTGCATGGAAACCAGCCCCAGGGCACCCCAACCTGAGTCTCAGGAATTGGGGGCACCTGGAGTTAGTGTCCTCACACCCTGCACCCCGTTTTCTAGCCCTTCTGAAGACTCAGGGTGCAGGCCGGGCCTTGGGGTCGAGCTTCCTGGGGTCCGGGAGGTTCGTGGGCACCGGCCAGGACTCGGGGTGAAGGTGATGCTGTGACCTGCTTTAGGTCCTCGACGCCCAAGACGCAAGGAGTCCCCAGCGCCCCCCGGAAGGTGGGGACCCACCTCGGCGGGCCATTGGTGCTGGCCAGGTCCTGCCCCATCTCGGGTGCCCTGAGTGAGCCCCCCACAGCCCGGCCGGAAGGAGCAGTGGGCAGGAGCGGGCGGGGTCGGGGGGTGGTCTCGGGTTCTTGCTGTCACTCCATGTTCTTGTACTTGGTGAAAAGGCTGTACAGGACACGCAGGGTGGACTTGAGGTCCAGACTCACCACATCTGTGAAGGGCAAGAGCAGCGTGGGGTGGGGCCGGGACGCCCTGTCCACGGCTTCGCCCCTGAAGACCAGCACCCCCAGAGCGATGGGGGGACACGGACAGGCTGTTCCGTCCCTCGGGTCAGCATGGGCATGAGTGGGGATTGCCGGCCTCTCTGGGGCGGAGGCCAGCCTAGATGTGGGGTCAGGCCCTGACTCCTCCCCCCTCCCCCCTCCTCGGATGCCTGCATGCCCTGACCCCTCCCCCTGACCCTCTGACGCCCCTGCCCCCCCTGACCGTCCCCCTGGACCCCTTGGCCCGAGCCTGACCCCCCAACCCTCCGCTCCTCCCCGCACTGCGGGCCTCACCTTCGGGCCGGGCCTTGGGCTTCGCGAGACCCCCCTCCAGCATGAGCTCGAAGGCCAGGGACACGTTGTGGGTCTGCAGGGACAGGGCAGTGTGGGCAGCTGTGCCCGGCCGCTGGCCCCAGGAGGGAGGCGGGGACAGGCGGGGCGAGCCGGGCTCTCCACGGGGAACTGTGGACTCTGTCCAGGGGCATCTCCAGGGCCAAAGCAGAGCAGCCGACAGACCCCCAGCACCCCCCACCCTCCCGCTGACCCGCCACCCCTCCCCCCTCCCCCTCCCCCCCCCTCCCATGCAGGCCAGGCCCTGAGGCCACCGTGGCAACAAAGCTGCGCTTGCTGGTATTGGCGCCTGAGGGGTGAGGCTGCCCCAGGTCTGAGCCTCATCTTGAAGGAGCCCAGCGCCCCCCTGGTGGGTCCCACCTTAGGCCAGAGCCTCCAACCCTGGCCCAGCCGGTGGCCCCACAGGGGAAGCCCCGCCCCCACCAGCCCACCGGCTCGCAAGACCCCTAATGCTCGGTCCCACTGACCACACCCCGGCTCCATTATTCCAGGCACTGACCACTCCCTGGGGTCCACTGACCAGGCACTGACCATCTCCCGGCTTCACTGACCAGGCACTGACCATCTCCCGGCTTCACTGACCAGGCACTGACCACTCCCCAGACTCTACTGACTGGACACTAACCATCTCCCAGACCCTACTGACCAGGCACTGCCCACTCCCCAGCTTCCTGACCAGGCACTGACGGGCAGGCGGCCATGTGCGGTCACAGTCAGAGGAGCCCCAGCACTGGCCACCAGCATCTGGACACTGCCAGTCACCTCCTGCCCGCCCTGCCCCGCGTGGCCAGTACACAGGAAGGCAGTGGCCTGTCATGGGGACTCGAACCCCAGCCAGGGCCCCACGACCTCCTTCCCGGAGACGCCCGCAGCCCGTACCGAAGGACAGGGGTCAGCGCTGCAGAGGCCGGGGGCGGGGAGGGCCAAGGGGGTCATATGGGGGGGCCCCGGCGGGCACCTACCTTCTGCTGGAAGCTCTCGGGGGTCAGGTGGAAGAGGTGCAGGGGCACGAAGTAGCCGTCCAGCAGGCCCATGAGCAGGACCAGGTAGACGCCGTCTGCGAACTACAGAGGGGCAGGCTCGCACCCCTGCCCATGCCCGGCCCCACCGCAGCCCAGCGTGGGCTCTGTCCATCACCGGAGGCCCGGGGTCACTCCCTGGGTGGCCGAGCACCGGCGGGTCTGCACGGGACAAGCCCGGCCTTGCTTCCGCCTGGCTCAGGGGGCCTGGAGTGGACCCCCCTCATGGGAGTCCTGCCTCCCTTGGGGACCCCCACCCATAGGAGACAGCCAGGCGGGAAGCTGTGGAGGTGGCGCCCCTCGAAAACAGGATGGGGGAGGGACGCCGCCCCTTTAATGAAAGTCAAAGTGGACAGGACAGCCCCCGGGGCAGCGTGAGGCTGGCAGGCAGTGCCCCTGGGTCACGGGAGGGGTGAAAGTCAGGCCAGCGAAGGGGGGACCGTCCGCTTACACTCAGGAGCAGGGCCCCTGCGAGTGTCTGCAGGAAGGGTCCCCCGGCCCACCCTCAGGGTCTCCATCAGCAGCACCCCCTAAGCCCCTCACGCGGGACCCTCTCAGTGAGGGGGGCTCGGGGCTGGGGCCTGCTCAGTCCAGGCTAGGAGGCTGCGCAGAATCGGGGGCATCTCCCAGGAAGGGCTACACCCCTGGACATCTCAGATGCTGACCCACGGGCTTACAGAATGGAGAAGGCTTCACTCTCCAGAGGGGGGGAATACACACACGCACGTACACGCATACATGACACATGTACACGTACACAGATACACAGTACACGTGTACATGTACACGCACGCACACGTGTACATACACACAGGTATACACACATGCAAACATGCCCACACATGCATATGCACACACACACGCACACACACATACACAGGCATACGTGCGTGCATACATGCAAACATGCATATACACACATATACACACTGTGCATGTACACACACGTGTGCACACGCACATACACACAGTACTTGAGTTTTGGTCTCATTCTGAGGCTTCTTGACCCCAATGACCAAAGGAATCAGAAAACCCTGTTCTGGGCCCCGAGGCTGTTGCCTCTGCAGAAACGCGCCTCGAGGTATCGGCAGCAGCACAGGGGTCCTGCAGCGTGGCCAGAGACCCCTCCTGGGCGGCCAGTGCGCCAGACCACTGCAGGGGGCTTTCGGGGCCCAGAGGGACATTGGGAGACAACGGGTCCCCGAGTCCACAAGGTCAGGGCTGTGGAGGGTCAGTGGCCGTTAGAAAGGGTATAGGGGGCACCTGAGAGGTGAGGCGGGACCCCTGTGAGGATGCGGGGACAGAGTGGTCTGGTCCTGCGGGCACCTGTGCTCCCTCCTGGGAATGGTGGCGGTGGGGGGGGGGGGGGGGCGTGCATCTGTGCACAGACGCTCCCGGCCTGGGGAGGCGGCTGTGGGAGGGCGAGACGCAGAAGCCCGCGGGGAACCGAGCCCCCTCACGTGTGACGTCTCCCCAGGAAGCCACTCGCCGCTGGCGCTTGTCTGCAGACGTGCAGGGGCGAGGGGTGGCGGGAGGGGGGAGCCGGGCGGGGAGGGGCTCCCTTTCCGGGCTGCTGACGCTGAGCCTGAATTACTTTTTTAATTAGAAAGGCAAATAAGAGGAGTTAGAGAGACGAGCGCCGCTTCTCTCGCCCGGGCTTAAGCGGGATCAGCCGGTATTAGAGAAATCAGTTCCAGAACGCCGAGACTCCCGCTCCAGGGAGGGCCACGGTCCGTCACGCTGCGGGCGGGCAGGGCGGGCAGGGCGGCCGCCACGGTCCCCGCGCTTAGAGCCGAAGACAGATTTCAAGCATTTTCTCAAGGGGCCTCTGCGGAGCCTCCGCCCGGTGCCAGTCCAGAGCGAAGCCCAGGAGAGCGTGAACAGAGGGGAGATAGAACTCTCTAGAATATTCTAGAAGTCTAGCGGGAGGGGCTTGCACACGCCGAGGAGGAGACGGGGCAGGAAACTAGGAAGGGGGGGGGCAAATGGCTGCCCCTGAAACAGCAGGGCTGGGAGCTGGGCCCCAGGGGCTTCCTTTGAGATGGGGCAGGAGGGAGCTGCAGATCAGGGGGTCATTGGCCCGACTGGCACACGCAAGTACACACATGACCACACACACATGAGCACGCACAAAGAGCATACACGAGCACACACACATGAGGACATGCAAGAACATACCTGAGCACACACAAGAACATGCATAAGGGGCTGGAGCGATAGCACAGTGGGTAGGGCGTTCGCCTTGCACGCGGCCGACCCGGGTTCGATCCCCAGCATTCCATATGGTCCCCCAGCACCGCCAGGAGTAATTCCTGAGCCAGCAGGAGTAACCCCTGTGCATCGCTGGGTGTGACCCAAAAAGCAAAAAAAAAAGAAGAACATGCATGAACACACGCAAGAACACAGGAGCACACGCAAGAACACACATGATCAAACACACACGAGTACATGCAAGAACATACATGAACACACACAAGAACATACACAAGAACACATGAGCACACACAGAAGCACACACAAGAACACACATGAACAAATACATGCGCACACACAAGAACACGCATGAGCAAACACACACGTGAGCACACAAGGCGGAAGTGGGGGTCCGTCTACACCCGTGCCTGGAAAGGGGATCAGGATCCCCAGGATCTACCGGACACTGGCCAGAGACCTCTGCTGTTGTAGGGGTCCCGTGCGCCCCCTGCCCCAGGGCTCACCCGGGGGTGCCTGTGGGGGACCCGGCCCGGCCCCCCGCGTGGCTCACCTGCGTCTCCAGCTCCGTCACCTCCAGGTTGAGCTTGTTCAGGTGCTTGTTCACGAAGGTGATGAGGGACTGGGGGAGACGGAGCCGAGGCCCTGAGCCCCCTGCGCCCGCGGAACCCTCCACGCGCCCCAGGGACGGGGGTTCTGGTCCAAACGGGGGTTGCCCTGGGACCACACCTGTCCGCCCCCCAACGAGCAAAACCACTCGGGGGCGGCAACCCGACGGTCGGGGACAAGGAGAGTTTCCAGCCGCTGGCCCTGCCTTGGGGGCGCCTGGCCCTAGATGTGAGTCCTTCCACGTTTGTTGGCACGGGCAGCTATTGGCCACACCAGCAGTGCTCAGGGCTGGCTCCTGGCTCTGTGCTCAGGGATCCCTCCTGGGGGGACTCGGGGGACCCTGTGAGGTGCCCTGCCCGCTGGACCATCTCTCTGGGTCCCCAGACGTTACTGTGACTGGGCCTCGGAGCCCCCAAGAGGCAACGTGTGTTGCCCAGTCACGAAGGCAGCTCCCCACCCTGGTCCTGCCAGCCCCGGGGGCCACGTCTCAGCGTCACCCAGCCCGGGAGGCGGGCAGCGTGGGCTGGGTGCCAGGGGCAGCAGAATCAGGCTCCCCCGCCGCCTTGCGCCAAGGGCGCCCCTAGACCCCCAGACTCGTGGTCCCAGCCACACCCACAGTGCCACAAGGTCGGGGATGGGGGAGCCACGGGGATGAGCCCGCAGCTCTGGTCACATGCCCCCCACCAACGCTGGCCATGCGCCAGAAGGCAGGTGGCGGCTCAAAGGTGCCGCTCAAGGCCAGAGAACCGTGTCCTGACGCCAGGGACCAGGACCACAGCTCTAAGGTGGCCACGGGGCCCGGCTGAGCCAGTGTCTCTGCGGCTCTGGGCCTCTGTCCGGCGTCTGCCCTGGGCGCCCTCTCCCCCGCGGGCAGAAACTCTGGAGTCGGGCTCAGGGGGCTGAGGAGGGGTGACGGCCCCAGGGCCCGGCGCAGGGGTCTGCGGCCGTCACGGGCAGGTGGGTTTGGCGGTCAGGGGAATCAGGGCGGAGGGAAGGCCCACAGGGGCCGAGCCCAGGCTAGGCAGAACCAGGGCCAGCCCGGGGGTGGGGGTGGGGGTGGGGGGATTTGAACCCAGGAGCGGGCGGGGGAGGGTCTCCCAGCTATTCCACACGGCGGAGACCTCGGGGTGCGCCCACCCTGCCCCAGACTCACCTTCTTCACCAAGTTGAGCTTGTCCGGGGCGTGGTCGAACAGCGTGTCAAAGGCGTCCCGCTCTGCACAGAGCAGACATGGTGGGGAGGGTCAGGGCACATACTCGGGGCCGTGGTGCAGCCCCCCACCCCTGAGAGCTGCCGTCCCGTCCCCAGACGCCCCCCCCCTGGAGCCCGGGGGCCTCGGGGCAATGTCACGGGAAGCGGCGTTCACCCCGGGCCCTGGCGGGGGCCACCCTCCAACACCTCCCCGCAGCCCCCGGGACTGGGGCACCTGGCGGCCACTGCACCCCACTCCCACCATGCCTCCCAGGCTGCCGTCCCCACAGCACCCTCCGCACTGCCTGACCCCCCCTCAAGCCCCTCCGGCCGTGTTCTGGGCCCTGAGTCAGTTCTAGAATCTTCCTTCTCGCCCGCAGTAGGGTGGGGATGTGGGGGGCCGCGTCCCCACAAAGCCGACACGAGAAGCCGCTGGCGCCGGCTGCAAGGCTGGAGAGGGGCTACGGGTGGCAGGGGTCTGGGGCCGGCCGGGGGCCAGTGCTCAGCCGTGGCCACCAAGATAGGCGCAAGTGACCAGCCCGTCCCTGCTGCAGGGCCAACCCCAGAGAAGAGGAGGGACGCCAGGCAATGCATGCCCAGGCAGTGTCAGGGATTCCCGGGGCACCAGCTAGGCGTGCCGATGGGTAAACCGAGGCAGCCCCAGCGAGCAGGTTCCCAAAAGACCGGCGCCCACGTTGGTTGGTGACCAGCTGTGGGTGGCCCCATGGATGCTCTGTGCGGGAGACACTCCCAGTGGGGTGTGTGGTCAGAGGGTCCTGGCGACCCCGAGAGCCCCGTGGCAGCAGAGGTGGGGGTCTCCCACGGCCCTGACCCTCCACGCCCACATGGAGGCCACAGCGGCTCCAGTTCTAGAATATTCTAGCTGCTTCCCTCAGCACGAGGCGCTGGTCCTGGTACAGGGGCTCGGGCTCACCCACACACTGGGGTGGGGGTTTGGGGGGGGCTCAGGAAGGAAACTGAGGTTCAGGCCGGGCTTTACCTGGGCAGCAGGGGAGAGAGGGCACAAAGGGCCCGGAAAGTGCTGAGTTGAGTAGGGGGTGCTGAGGACTGTGTCTGCGAGGGGCTGTACATGCAGGGGGAGGGGCAGCGGGAAGGGCCGTCGTGGGGCGGGGGGGCCAGGCCCATGTGTCCCTCCTGGCAGGGACATGGAGGGGACACAGAAGGGATGTGCAGGGCCGGGTGCAGCCCTGAGAATGTCCGAGACACACGAGGTTTTCAAGGTTGGAAGAGGGGCTGGAGCGATAGTACAGCGGGGAGGGCGTTTGCCTTGCATGCGGTCGACCCGGGTTCGATTCCTAGCATTCCATAGGGTCCCCTGAGCACCGCCAGGAGTATAAATTCCTGAGTGCAAAGCCAGGAAGAACCCCGGAGCATCGCCGGGTGTGACGCAAAAAGTCAAATAAATAATAAAGGTGGAAGAAATAAAAGTGTGACGGGCGGAAGGTCCTGGGCCCAGCGGGAGCACGTCCCCCCGTGTGTGTCCAGGGTCACCCTGCCCGCCAGAGCCTGACCCGGATGCACCGTGCGGGCGTGGGGGACGCAGGTTGACTAAACTTCCTCCCCGTCCCAGAGCTGCGGGCACCCAGGGCAGCCCCCCCGCACCCCGGCCCCAGCCCAGACCCCGGCCAGGTACTCACCGAAGCGGCCGGCCATCATCCTGTGGACAGGGGGCGGGGTCAGTGCAGCCGTGGCCACCACGGCATTCAGAGCGCACCCCCCTTCCCAAGCCCCGCCCCCAGCAGGGAGCCCCCAGGCCCCCCAGCCCCCTGGGACCCTCTCTGTGGCCACACACTGGGATCGCCTCTGAGGCAGGGGCGGTCGACCGGCTCTTTCTGTTCTTTGCTTTTTGGTTTTGAGACCACACCCAGGGATGCTCAGGGGTCCCTCCTGGTGGGGGCTCAGGGGGCCACATGGGTTGCCGGGGATCGAACCCGGGTCGGCCGCATGCCAGGCAAGCGCCCTCCCCGCGGTGCTACCCGGCCCTCCGTGGCCCTTCAGAAGGGCTGCCCACGTCGTTCCTTCTGCCGTGGCTGGGCCTGATGGTCCGGTGGGGCGGGGGTCCCGGGGGCTGGGGCAGCTGGGGGCGGCACTCACTCGGTGCTGGTGGTCAGTTCCTCCGTGATGTGGCTGGAATGCAGCAGCCCTTCCCGCTTCTGTGGAGGGACGGGGGGGGGGGGGAGGTGAGGCCCCCACAGCTCACAGCCCTCCCCTCCCCCACCCCCGTCTGTCCTTCCGCCCCCTCCGTGCAGGGCAGCCCTCGCCCCGCTGCGCCTCGGAAGGTCCAGGCAGCCCAGTGCCCACGGCGAGCCAAGGGGAACCAGCCTACACGACACAGAGCCCCACCCGGTGCAGCAACGAACATCTTTTCTCTCAATGTACAAGGTGGGACTGGAGCCGCTCGGAGAGAGAGAGCGGGTGCTGTGCACGGTCCTCAGGGCAGAGCTGAGTCCCAGGGGATCCCAATAAACAGCAGGGGAACAGCCCTGGGGGCGCCCACCTCATGCATATCCACCCCACAGAGCGGCACCTGCGGCTGAGCCCCCCACAGTCGCTCCCCCAATATGCGGAGACGGGGCCCAGGGAGCACAGCTCTCATGACAGAGAGCTGCCCCCAGCCCCTAGCCAGCAGGGAGTGACCCCGAGCACAGAGCCGGGAGTCAGCCCTGGCACAGAACCGGGAGTTAGCCCCAAGCACAGAGCCAGGAGTCATCCCTGAGCACAGAGCCATAAGTCAGCCCCGAGCACAGAGCCAGGAATGAGCCCTGAGCACAGAGCCAGGAGTCATCCCTGAGCACAGAGCCAGGAGTCATCCCTGAGCACAGAGCCAGGAGTCATCCCTGAGCACAGAGCCAGGAGTCAGCCCCAACCATAGTTAGGAGTCAGCTTTGAGCGCAGAGCTGGGTGTCAGCCCCGAACAGAGCCAGGAGTGAGCCGCGAGCACAGAGCCAGGAGTCAGCCCTGAGCACTGTCGGGTGTGGCCGCCCAAAATAAACCAACCCCAGCAGAGCGACCTCCACCCCACGACCGGGCACCTCTCTCCGCGCTTGGAGCTGAGCCGGTTGCCCCATGGACCTCCCTCACCCCGTGCCCAGGGAGGAAAGGCCTGGCCAGGGCAGGAGCTGGTGGCCACGGTCACTCACCCGCACGACCACCACCTGCACAGACACATGCTCGGGGAGGCGGATGGGCGCCCGGAAGTGCGTGGCCAGTGAGAGGAGCAGCTGCAGGATGGACACCAGGTTCTTCCCGTGAATCACTGCGGGGAGAGACATGGCTGCGGTGGGCAGGCAGGGCCAGAGCCCTAATACCCCACCACGGGCCCCAGGGCAGCGAATGGGCCACACGGGGGCCAGGACCAGCGGATCCTGCTAACATCTACGGCAGGGGCTAGCCACACACTCACAGTCCATGGCAGGGACCGGCCACACACCCACAGTCCATGGCAGGGACCGGCCACACACCCACAGGCCACGGAAGGGGATGGCCACACACCCACAGTCCACGGCAGGGACCGGTCACATACCCACAGGCCACGGAAGGGACCGGCCACACACTCAGGCCACAGAAGGGACTGGCCACACACCCACAGGCCACGAAAGGAGCCAGCCACGCACTCACAGTCCACAAAAGGGGCTGGCCACACTCACAGTCCACAGTCCATGGCAGGGGCCGGCCGTGGGGCCGCAGCAGCTCCTGCACGGCCTCCAGCACCGTCTGCAGCTTCTGCCTCTGCCCGACCTCCGACTGGGTCACCTCGGCCACGTTCAGCTTGCAGTGGCCCAGCTTCTCTGCAAGGATGGGCCCCGTGTGGTCAGGGGCCACACCTGCCAGATGTGGGACCCTCTCCCTGCCCTCTCCCCCCCACCCCGCGTACAGAGCAGCAGGGTTGGCGCCACACAACCCCAAACCCTCCCGTCGTCCATGCCCCTAGGGCGCAGGGCGAGCTCACGCCAGGACGGGGTCCCAGTCGGAGACGGCCCAGGAAGGGCCCAGAAGGACTCGGGGTGGCCGGCGGGGGGGGGCATGGTAAGAGCCTGAGTGCCCAGGAGGGAGACGCGTCGGGAGTCAGAGCTGCGGGGCCTCGGGGACTGCTGCCCCCACATGAGCCTCGTGACCATGGCCTTGGCCACGGCAGGAAGCAGGAGAGTGGCAGAGCCGCCCCGTCTGCTCAGGTGGGATTTGGGGGGGACCTACCCATCCCCACACCCCAAACCAGCAGGCACAGGCCTGGCAGTGTTCCGGCCGCCAGGAGAGCTGTGTGCACCCAATGGCACAGCTGCTGTGGAAAGTTCTGGAAGGTTCCAGAAGCTCCCTCCCCCGCACCGTCTCCGAGCCCCAGGACAGCGTCCAGGAGCTGAGGCTCAGGGCGGAGACGCCCGGTGACGCCCAGGGACGCCCAGTCTCCCAGGAGCGGGGCGGTCCAGCCGCGGGCTCTGCAGGGGAGCAGGGGCGGGCAGGGGGCTCACCCAGAAGCTTCTGCAGCACCTGCCCGTCGAACAGGTCCTCGTCCAGCTGCTTCACGATGATCCGTTCCTCGGCCAGCACCTCATTGATCCAGTCGATGAGCACCTGGGACAGGGTGGCCACGTGGCGGGGAAACACCGGGCCCGTGAGTGTGGGGGAGGAGACGGCCATGCCTCCCCGGGGGTGGGGGGGCTCCCGGGACCCCCCCCCAGGGATCCACAGAAGAGCCCGGCTGGAGCACTGTTCCCAGGAGCATAGGAGAGAAGCAAGAGGGATGCTGGGGGGCGCGGGGGGGGGGGGTGTGCAGTGGGGACCGAGGCTGACCCGAGCGTGTGGGCCACCACGGACAACCCAGGCGAGCGAGGGTCAGAGGAAGGTCACTTCCTGCCCGCGGGGAGAGCGGGGGTCTAGGGTAAGCGCTTAGCGCCGGCACCTGCCCCGCTTGGGGGTGAACCGAGGTGTGGGTGGGGTCCTGCCGGCCTCCCACATGGGTGGATGTGAGGGTCACCCCAGCTCCAGCGCACCCCGGAAGAGGCTCTGGGGCCCACGGGAAGGAAGGACACAGGGGGGTGAGGGGTCGGCAGGAAGGAAGGGAGGGGCCGCGGCCAGTGCAGGACAGAAGGGGAGTCGAACCCCTGCCTGGGCCTGTGGGCACCCCCCCCCCCCGCCCAGGCCCGTCTCCTGCTGCCGAGGGGACACTCGGGCTTCCTCGCCTCTGGGAGGACAGCGGCCCCCGGCTCAGCCGCCTTTCTGGAGAGTTCCAGCTGCCTGCCCTCCCGCCCTGCCTGAGTGACAGGGCCTCCCCCGGCGGCGGCGGCCGTGCGGGGCTGAGACGGCGACAGCCTCCACCCACGCCGCTCTGCACAGCGACAAAGCGGTTTTCAGGAAAAGACAAAAACCCTCCACAGAATGAACCGGGTCGCGGAAGCCGCCAAGAACTGGCACGTCCCGGCACGCCCGGGCGCCCACGGGCCCGTTCAGGGGCGTCCTCAGGGCACGGCTGGAGGGGGAGGGGGGTGTTGGGGGCCGGGAGCCCCCGCGGGAAACGCAGGCGCTGGCACGGGGCTGAGGGCGCTCGGAGGAGAAATCCGGGCACGGCGGCCGATCGCGTCAGGAGAGGCCTGGGCGGGGGTGGCCGTGGTCACGGTCCAGGGCTCAGCTAACGCCGTCCCCTCTGACGGAGCCCCAAGGGATTACCTGCTGCCACTCTGTGGCAGCCAAGCCACGCTTGGATAAACGCCGCGGCAGCAAGCAGCGGGCCGGGGAGGGCGCCAGGGGGCGGACGTGCCAGGAGCCTCCGAAACGCCTGCCCTGCCGCTGGGCGCAGCCTCTGGGGATGATGCGGCCCCTCTAAGGTGTGGCCGCACCCCTGCCTGTGTGGTCGGGCAACACCATCACTCCGGAGGGGCTGAGATGAACTGTGAGGGCTCGGCCCCATGTGTGAGCGCTGGTCGGTACGTGCACACACGCCTGGTCATGGCACACACGCCTGGTCATGGAACATGCCTGGTCACGGCACACACCTCATCCCAGCCAGCACACACGCCTGGTCACGGCACACACGCCTGGTCATGGAACACGCGTAGTCGCGGAACACGCGCCTGGTCACGGAACATGCCTGGTCACAGCACACACACCTGGTCATGGAACACGCCTGGTCATAACACACGCCTGGTCAGGGAACATGCCTGGTCACAGCACACACCTCATCCCAGCACACACGCCTGGTCACAGCACACATGCCTGGTCATGGAACACACCTAGTCGCGGAACACGCGCCTGGTCACGGAACACACACCTGGTCATGGAACACACCTGGTCATGACACACGCCTGGTCATGGAACATGCCTGGTCACAGCACACACCTCATCCCAGCACACACGCCTGGTCACGGCACACACCTCATCCCAGCACACACGCCTGGTCACGGCACACACGCCTGGTCATGGAACACACCTAGTCGCGGAACACGCGCCTGGTCATGGAACACGCCTGGTCACAGCACACACACCTGGTCATGGAACACGCCTGGTCATGACACACACGCCTCATCACAACACACACGCCTGGTCACAGCACACATCCCTGGTCACGGCACACACGCCCTGGTCACGGCACAGAGCCTGGTGTTCTGTGTGTGGACAGGGGGAATGGAGGCCCCGCCGGCACGCCCCTGCCCCGCCCGCCGCACCCCTGTGTGGCGAAAGCACCCGAAGCCCAGAGTGCTCCGGCTGAGAGCCCGGCCCTACCTTGACCAGCTCCTTGAACTTGGGGTCCTCCTTGGAGACGGGGTCGATCATCCTGCGCTCCTCGTTCTCCTCTAGGGTCGGAGCAGAGGGGGTCAGGGCGCCGGGTGCGGATATGGGGGACGTTCCAGACGGCGTCCCGCTTGGCGGGATCCCTGAGCACGCCTGAACACGCGTGTGCAGGCCCCCTACGGAGCCTGCTTCCGGTTTTCCGCATTTTGTGAAGTTCTGAGGACCTCAGGACCCCGGGGCCTGAGAGACCGTCCCTCCCGGACAGGTCATGCCTGGGCCTGAGAGATGGTCACTTCCAGGCAGGTCATCCCGGGGCCTGAGGGACGGTCCCTCCCGTGCCGGCTCGTCCGTCCCTGGGGCACCGTCTTCCCCCCCCATCCCCGCCCCAGCTCCCGGCCGCTGAGGTGGGACGGCGGTACCTAGCAGGGTGTCCTCGGGGTGGATGTCCGTCAAGGCCGGGGACAGCGGGGAGTTGATGGCATTCTTGCCCTCCTCTTGCAGGTCGGTCACTGTGGGCAGAGACAGGGGCCGTGGGTGGGCGTGGGGCTGGGGACCCCGAGCTGGTTGGTCGCTGACAGTGAGGCTGGCAGAGCCTGGCCCAGGGCCGAGGAGTCCCAGAGGGGCATCCCACGGGGCGCTGGCCATCGGGGAGCAGACACGCTGCCCGTCCCCCAGCACTGCCCCGTCCCTCGGTGCTGCCCTGTCCCCCGCGACCCTCCTGCAGCCCCTGCGTGCACGAGACATGGAAGCTTCTGGATGCAGCAAGGCGGGGAGGTGAGGCTCTCCTCTCCCTCGCCGCAGAACCGCATCCTTGGGGGAAGGACGGGGGAGCCCCCAGGTGCCCCTGCCATGACGCCAGCACTGAGTCCCCAGGACAGAGCCCTGAGCCGGGACACACCCAAGATCCAGAACATTCCAACTGGAAGATGGAGACGGTACCTGGGGGGTAGGGCCAGGAGAGGGGGTTAGAGGGATGGTGAGGTCAAGGGGGCGGCTCGGGGACCACAGTGGGGGTGTGGCGCCCTCGCTGGCAGAACAGTCCCTCGATCCCCACACGGGCGAGAGAGACCCTCTGGGGTGTCCCCTCCACCGGGAAGGCCACCAGCCTCACATGGTCTCACAGGGCTTTACCCAACAGCCAGAACCGTCCCATCCTGAATCCAGGATCCACCCTGAGATCTGACTCGCGGGGTGCAGGGAAGCACCTGCCACATGTGATCACCCGATTCCCACCCTGGGCCGTAAGCCTCCTCCTGCCTTCTGCGCAGAAGCTCGGAGTGAAAAAAACCTGGACCGCTATGGGCCCCGCCCACACCCACAGACCACGCCCACAAGCCCACGCATGCCCCGCCCACAAACCCCAGACCATGCTCACCACGCACACCGGCTACGCTACAGGCCCACACAGGCCACGCCCACAAGCCCATGAAGGCCACGCCCACAAGCCCAGACCACGCCCATCATGCATACTGGCCACGCCCACAGTCCCACGCAGGCCCCGCCCACAAACCCCAGACCATGCTCACCACGCACACCGGCTACGATACAGGCCCACACAGGCCACGCCCACAAACCCATGAAGGCCACGCCCACAACCAGCCCCCGCCCATCATGCATACTGGCCACGCCCACAGCCCACGCAGGCCCCGCCCACCACGCATACCGGCTACACCACAGGCCCACACAGGCCAAGGCCACGCCCACAGGCCCATATGGCCAAGCCCACACCCACAGACCACGCCCACAAGCCATGCATGCCCCGCCCACAAACCCCAGACCATGCTCACCACGCACACCGGCTACGCTACAGGCCCACACAGGCCACGCCCACAAGCCCATGAAGGCCACGCCCACAAGCCCAGGCCACGCCCATCATGCACACAGGTCATGCCCATTGGCCACGTCCACAAGCTCACGCGGGCCCCGCCCACAAGTCCACGCAGGCCCCGCCCACCATGCATCCAGGCTACACCACAGGCCCACACAGGCCAAGGCCACGCAAGCAGGCCACGCCCACAGGCCCATAAGGCCACGCCCACACCCAGAGGCCACGCCCGCAGGCCCATGCACAGAGGGACACATACCACCCTCCCACCCCAACACCTTTAGCAATGGGCCAGGACAGGAGCAAAGGTGGTGTGGTGGACGGGCTGCAGGTGGGCTGGGGTCCTTCCACTGACCTCACGGAACAGGTTTTCCCAGAACACCAGGGGCCAGGGAGGACCCACAGGACAGCACGGTGGTCCTCACTGGGTCCAGGCTGTGCTCTCTGAACCAGCCCCAGGATGCCGGCCACCGCCCTGCCCGCGGCCCCCCACAAGGATGGGGGCGTGGGGGGACACCAGAAGGGGCTTCTCATAGGGGCAGGTGGCCAGAGGCACGTTGGGGGTCCACGGGGGAGACCCTCCTGCCCACTGATTGGCAGCCGGGCGCAGGGAGGAGGAGGGGGCACTTCAAGGCGAAGGCCCACTTGAACCAGGGCCCCGGGCCACGCCTCCGGCCGAGGCAGAGGTCTGCCTTTGATTCTTCTTTTTTTCATCTTTTTCTCTGTACGGTTCTATTTTTTTTCTCTCCAATTTTTTTCTCTGCAGGCTCTTTCCACAAAAGAGGCTTTTCACGCGGCTGCCTTTCCCCGGCTGCTGACATTATAAGGAAAATCGCTGCCTTGAAAGTGGCTCTCAGGCGGCCAGCTCAGGTCAGGGCACCGGGCAGGATCCAGAGAGAACAAAAGGCCAGGCAGGAAGGGGGTGCCGGCAGGGGGCAGACCGGGGCTCCTGCCGCCAGAGGTGGGGCCCCAGAAGGATGAAAGGCTGACGGGGGTTGCGGGGTGGGGTGGGGGGGGTCTGTTCTCTGACATTTCTCCCAAGTGTGTCACTGAGGACCCTGGCGGGGGGGCTCCAGCCCGGGCTGCCCGCACCCGCTTTCCAACGAACAAAGGACCGGGAGAGAACATCCAGCAGGACCAGCACCAGAATTTCCCTGAGGACCAGAACCAGGGAACAGACCCCAACACCTCCCGGTCTCCCCCTCACGCCCCGTCCACCTGGGGGGCAGGAAGGCCGGGGCCAGTCTGGACACTTCAAGACACAGCTGGGGGGGACACCCTGAATCTCCAAGGGCAAGCAGGAAAAAATAAGGCGTCAATCAAGAGTGTCATACCTCCCCTCCAACCCCGCCCCGGCTCAGGACCCCTGCCCAGCGCCCCAGGCTGAGAATGGGGGTGTGGGTCCCCCCCCCCCGCGGTGTGCTTCTTCGCGCGCCCCCTGGGAGCCCCCTGGCGCCGAGGGTCCCCCTGCAGAAGTCATTATTCCTCTGAGTGATTAGCTCAGCCCCCGTGACGTCTTCCCAGAGCAGAGCCTCCAAAAATAAACCCGCCTGGGTGCAAACAGCTCGGCGGGTTCAGACACGGCAGCCAGCGGCCGGCGCGGGCGCACAGACCTGGGGTGGTGGTGGGAGGAGGGCGGGGGGGAAGTGGGGGGCTCAGGCCTCGGGGCACGGGAGGTCAGGGGCTGAGGAAGAGCCACGGGGGCCGGGTCTCTGGGGGAATTGGCATCGACCCTGGGACGCTGGAGGGAGTCTGTGGGCTCCAGGCCCCCTCGCCAACATTCGGGAGGGCTGGAAAGTGCCAGTCGACACGGCAGGCCCTGCCCGGGGGAGGCCGCTGGCCCTAATGACCAGCACACAGGTCTCGAGCCCCAGAGTGGGAGCCCAAAGACCCTAGCCCCCTCCCGAGGGAGCAGGTCGCCCCCTTACTCACTCTCGCAGGGGGCAGCTCTACCCCGAGCACCCACTTGTGGGAGGAAACAGGAGGACATGAGTTATGGGGTTGGTTGGGGACACCAGCCCCGAGTTTGGACAGAGGCCCCAGTCCACGGCCTGCCGCAGAACCTGCTGGCAGAGGGGCTGGGTGCTCAGAGCTGGGTGGGCAGCGCGGCGCCAAGTCTGCGGGAGCTGGATCAAACCTGACCTGAAGCCGAAGCCTCACATCCGTGTCTGTGCACCAGCCATGCCCTCTTGCCGCGTCCCTGGCGCTGGGGGCGTGCTGCCCCTTACGGCAGCATCTGGGCTCCGAGGTCCCCAACACCACGCAGACGCACCCCGGGCCCCGGCACCCACATAGCACAGACCCCCGCAGGGGACGAGGACACGGGTCCCCCGTCAGAGCCTCAGCCGCCCACCAGAGCCCTGCCAAGGAACTGCTGAGCCATCCCCGCACCAATGCCCGGACACCCAGCTGGGCAGCGCATCCAAACCGCACACCAGGCCCAAGATCATCCAGAAGCTTCCGGAAGCTTCCAGAAGCTTCTGTCCACCTGTGCAGTTTGGCCCCAAAGGACATGGGCTGGGAGCGTGCCAGGCAGATGCCAAGGAGGTTGGATCCCGACGGCATCACGCCCCACCCCCACGATGTGTAACACCCCCCGAAACAGCCCACCAGCCCCACAGGGGTCAGACGCGGCCAGCAGGGTCAGGGACACTTGGTTCAAGGCACGTTCAGGGGGATGTGGCTCTAGGACCTGCGTCCAGCCCCTGCTCCCAGCTGTCCACCTGCCCTGCTCTCAGCCAGCCTGGTTCCAGCCCAGCACCACCTGCGCTCCTGAGCCCAGGAGAGGCTGGGCCTGAGGGAGTCCCAGCTTCACCCGTACAGCTCCCTGAGCACTGTGCTGGGAGTCCTCTCTGGACACTGCTCAGCGTGACCTGAGACTCAGTGAACTGCCCCTGATAGTGAAGGAGCTGGAGTGAGGACGGCCGAGCAGGTGGGGAGTGGGGCCCACAGGCCCAGGTATGCGGGGTCCCAAGCACCGCCCACTGGGCTGGGCCCCCCTCCCCACTCCCCTGGCCCGGCCCCCAGTGAGAAGCGGGGCCCAGGGCTGAGGCTGTGGGGTCCCAGAGCTTAGAGCACTGTGGGCTGGGGCAGCTGGGGGCGGGGCGGGGAGGCAGTTGCTCCTCTGGGGGAGAAATGGGGGTCGCGTCTCCCCGCAGGGGGCCCAACCCGCTGAGAAAGGAGGAAGGCGAAGGCCTGAGCCCCTGGTCCAACTGGACACGCGCTGGACGGCGGGGAAATCGCCCGGGGGCTGGCGCCCTCTAGTGGCCACTCCCCGCCACTGCCGGCACACAGCAGCCTGGCCAGGGGACGCTCACCTGGACAGCAGTGCCCAGGGAGCTGGTGAGGGTCTGGAGTCAGGGGTATCACCCAGCACAACACCCAGCAAGCCCATGTCCAGCACTCAGATGTCCAGCGCCACCCACTGTCCACAGGGTGGCTGCTGCCCCTTTGCAACCTGGCCCAGCGTGGCCACGTGTGGGGGAGGGGGCCAGGGTCACAGCTGGTTCACGGCCACCCCCACCGCTACACCTTCCTCCCGGGCTGGGCACTCAGCAGTGCCCAGGCTGCCAGACCAGCACGGCCCCGCCCCTGGGGCACTCGGGAGGGACTGTGGGTCCTGCCCCGCCACTGCCTGCGTCCACTTCCCTCCTGAGGGTGCAACCCTGCAGGCACCCAGGGCTC